CAACCGTAGAATGGCCTGAGACATGCATATATTGGGGTGATGTATGCACAAATTGCGCGTTATTTATAGTTTATAGCGGACATTCTCATGCGTACACAAACACCAGCTCCTGAAACCACCCCTTAGGGTCGTAATCGAGGCGGCGTTGGCTTGACAGTTCGCTTTGGAGTCAATAATTGCCTGAATTTCCTCGTCCGTGGTAAATGCGGGCTTGATAATTGTGCGACAATTCTATATGGTGTCGTCAGAGTTGTTGCTGTCCCCAGTACTTTCGACTTGATATAATTCACCTTTAATAACTAAACTGCTGTCTCAGGACGTACTTTACCTTCAACTCCTAAAGTTCTGACTCATGACATACCTCACCTTCAAGACCATTAAATTAACCCTGCGAGACAAATACTATGAAAGGGAGAACCACCTCGGGAATAGAGGTTGTGCCGCTTTACATTATCTCTGCAAATGGAGTGGCCTGGTGAAGAGTTACTGAACACGTAGGCTTGCCAACTCGACATTTCAAAGTAAACGTGAGTATATTTACAGAGCTAAGAGTAGAACCTCAGTTCGGAGATTTCCCTTTAAGTCGTTTCTTTGGCAAATCTGCATGATTAATTTGTCGGGCGCTTTCGATGGCATTCTTATCCACGACAACAGGCGCAATTTCTCCGCTAACCAACGGGCTACAAATCTTTCGAGCTCATCACAGTTGGATCGGACAAATTAGGCATAGCTGCCAAAATACCCCTGTTAATTAAGTAAACCTACTAGTCATCTGGTAGATTCCGGATGGATTGGTTGGGGAATTCTTCTTAGGCTATCAGCTTATTCTATCAGGCTTGTTGGATTCCATATTTTCTGGGTATTTTTACCAAATATTATTAACCATATGTCTCGCACTTGCACCTGTGCACAGGCCGCACATTTCCTGTCATGTGTTCCAGCCCTTCTGTGACCGCCAAGGTTTTTGCACTTGGGTCATAAAAGGTAACGTTTAATGCAACTCTAGTGTTATCCAGTCACATTGATCTTAGTGCAAAGGTGAGCTGTCATACTATACTCATCACAGGCGGACATTGCCTAACACTAGAACCCGTTTCTGCTACCGTTGTCTGCTAATGTTTCTGATGATGAATCCGCGCCGGATGTCGAAACGTCAAGCAAATAACCGTATTTTCCCAGCGATCCAGTAGTCTTTTTCTCAGTTGCCTATCGCCTCTAAACCATTCCTGCATGAAGATGCCCCTTTACCTGCAGCGTAATTTTCAAGAACGTCGGTGTGACGGCCTATTCGTGTCATGTCTGAGGTCTGAGCACAATCTCATCTATAGCCATTCGTCTCGGCCAGATAACCGACGTATGAAAGCAGGGAGTGAAGAAGTTGTGGCTACTATTAAATGTGGTCTTTGTGGCACATGTAGAACGTCTGAGATGACCCATGCACGAAGCCTGGTACGTTTGGAGTCAGGAGTTATTAGCCGTAATCAGCCAACGATACACAAGCAAGCTCCATGGCATAAAGGGATGAGTGTATTCCGTAACCTATCAGTGAGTGCTTATCAAGCATTCAGTAATTCGGTATTTATTGGACATCAAATATCCTAAAAGATATGAGATCACATCTGGTGAGCGTCGATACGGCTCCCCTGGGTTCACTTCATATGGCAATGGTTGAACCCTTTTGGGCTATCAGGTAGGTGGCAAGAGCACGCAGACGAGTTAAGATGTCTTGAAAAACTTACACGTAGTAAAACGCTTCCAGTCTGGCCAGTGCTAGATACATCAAAATGCTGTCAACGTAATCCTTCCAATTTTAGCATAAGGCACCCACCTTTACCTGTTTTACTGGTTCGCCATATCAATCATTTCATTAGGAGAAGAAAAAGCGGCTTTAAGAACCCAGAAAATATAAGAAGGAGGACTGTGTGCTAATGCTGTGGCAAGGCTACTCCATGTTGGGTTACGTTGATGGCCACAAACATTGCAATAAAGGCAAGAATGCTATGAGGTCAATATACATTCGAGGGATTGTACGGCCCTAAACGTTCTTGCAAAACCACCAAAATAGTATGGCGGGCTTTAAGACAACGCCTTATGTCTTATAAATGTGGACTTCTGGCATAATTTGCTCTATACTCAAGGGACAGACACAAGCTACCTAAATAAATTAAGTAACAATAAAAACAATGACAACGTAAAATACGTTTCTCTCAGTGATATGACCCAGCGGATAGATTAGCCGGGTTTAAAGTGACATAGGGGAGTATTGTGGAGGTGTATTACCGCAGCCAGAAGCACACATAATTAAAACTCTGTTGTATTGACAATCTGGTTTTGGGCTCACTACGCTTACGTTGCATGACTTC